GATCAGCACGGTGCGCCGGCCGCAGTGCACAGGCCACGGCGGCCATTGGAGGGTGAACCAATGGCAAAGGAAGACCTTTCTCTCTGTCTCTCTCTCTCACTGTCCACTCTGTCTGTCAAAAAAAAAAAAAATAGTCTTTTCCTCTATAAAAAAAAAAATGAAAAAAATCCAAGAGTACTTCAAACAGCTCATGGGATGTGGAACTAAAGGAATTTATTTTAGTGCAAAAAAAAAAAAAAAAAAAAAAAAAAAACAACCCTGAAGTCCATGCATGGCTTTTCTCATCGTGACTTTTTGCAGATACCTTGTATGTCAAAAGCATGCAGTGCGTGCTCCGTAGGGTCTAGCTCTGGCTACTGGGTTGTCATCATTCCCTGACCCTGCACCTCCAAAGCTATCTGCAGCCCTCTGCGAGAGACATGGGAGCCGGGCTGGTCTGGGGCCGGGTTCCCAGTTCCCAAAGTCCCAGAGGCAGGCAGGAGTTAAATCCCCAGGGCAGCACAAGCCCAGCTCCTTCCTGCCCCCTCCCCAGGTCCTGCTAATTCCGGGCTGCCTTTGCCTGCCCAGGTGGAAAGGGGAGTAATGGAGCAGTGACCTGTCCCGGCCCCATTTTCTGGTGCGTTTCACCCCAGGCATCCAGAGCCTGGGCTGGGACCGGCAGCTGGGAGGAGAGGGTGCTGGCTTTCCACCCTGGGGGGTTGGGGACAGCTTCCTGTGAAACACCCATCAGGTTTTAGGACCAAGGACCCTTCCCCCCTGCCCTCCCCACCCAGCTCCCTTCATTTCATTGTTAGTTTCTCTTCCCCACTCCCTATTAGGGGAGAGAATGAATGACCGGATGGCTGATTGTACAGGGGCCGGCCACCTTTCAGTCCGGCACTGTGTAGACCGGTGCTTCCCACATTTTCACACGTGCTAGAATCACCCTTGTTAAACTTCAGATTCTGGGGGCCTGAGAATCTGCATTTTGAGCAAGCGCTCAGGGGCATGCTGGCGTTGTCTTTCCTGCAAACCCACAGAGGGCAACTTGCCTTCAATGCTTGCTTAGGAAACTCCAGAAATTGCCATCCCAGTGTCAGGACTTGCCAGGGTCAGGGGCATCAGGACACGTGGGCGGTGCACACAGCCTGTGCACTGATTCCCCAAGACGTGGTATCTGATTCCCCACACTGCTTGAGGGCAAACCACCACTCCTGTTTGCTGGAAACTGAGGGTGCCTAGGATATGAGACCTTTGGTTTTACAACTGGGATAGTTCTGGACTTGCTAGGGTGGGCGGATCACCCCCCTTCTCTCTGTAATGTAAGTAATTAAGATGCCAAGTCATTTCAGGGTGGGTGGGGGTGGAAAAGCGGGTCAGTAGTGAATCATCCCAGCCAGCCACCCCTGGACAAACTTAGACAAGTTCTCACCAATCAATGTCCTTGGTTCCAAACCAAGGCAGGGGTTGCCAGAGGGAAGAGGATGGGAGTGGTTTGTTGTTTCCCATCCTTGCAAAGGCGGAAGTTGCTACAAACATAGACCCCAGAGAGGGATTCAGTTCAGTCTCTGTGTAGCAGGCAGTGCCAGAAAGCCCAAAGAGCTCGGCCACCCTCAGCCTTACAAGGAGTCCTCCAGGCCTCATTGGACGCCAAGTCCTTCGGGATCAAGATGCTCTCCACTGAGAAGGGAGGAGCCTGAGGCCCAGGGAGGGACAGGGACAGGCCATGGCCACTGTGCTCCCCAACTCCCCGAGCAGAGCTCCTGACCTTTGTGCTACAGGAGAGGGTCAAGTGAGCAAATCCTTAATCAGTTGACTCCAGTTTGGATACCGGCGTGAATTGAGAGAGAGTTGGCCAGGATGGACCAGGATGGGTGGGATTCGCCAGGACTGGTTAGCACTCTCATGGGAAAGCCTCGTGGCTCTGACCAGTCCTGGACAGCGTGGCTTGCAAACTGCCTGCCTTGCATGGCTCTCTCATGCTTTTCTTTCTCCAGAAAAATCACAGAGACGTGAACATGGACATGTACACACATGCACATACATAGACATATGTGCACATACGTAGCCATGCATGTGCATACATAGACATGCGTGCACATACATAGACACACATGCACTACATAGGCATATATGCATAGACATGCATGCACATACGTGCACACTTGGGGCTTTGCATGATTTGCATGAATTGCATTCAGGTCCAGAAACCCTATCAGATCATTGATAATCCTGCTATTAGGGTACAATCCATATAAGCCAGGCACTCGACGACTATATTTGGCCCAATGAATTGGTCCAGAAACCCTGTGGAGTCAGTGCTATAAAGACCGCTGGTCATGCTCCCTGCTGTTGACGTGCCACAGTGAAGCACAGGGACTTTGGAAGCAAAGACCTTGGAGTCACGGGGCCTGCACCCAAATCCCTACCTCACCACCGATTTGGAGGATGCTTTGGGCAAGTCACTTAACCTGTTCAAGCCTCAGTTTCCCTGAATGTGCTTGGACCACTGCAATGCTCAAGGGGTGTTGTCTACTGTTTTATTTTTTATTTTTTAAGATTTGTTTATTTGGGGCTACACTGGGGCATAGAGGGTGAAGCTGCCACCTGCAGTGCCAGCATCCCATATGGGTGCCGGTTCGAGATTCGGTTGCTCCACTTCTGATCCAGCTCTCTGCTGTGGCCTGGGAAAGCAGTAGAAGATGGCCCAAATGCTTGGGCCCCTGCACCTGCGTGGGAGACCTGGAGGAAGCTCCTGGCTCCTGGCTTCAGATCGGCACAGCTCCGGCCGTTGTGGCCAATTGGGGAGTGAACCAGAAGATGGAAGACCTCTTGCTCTGCCTCTCCTTCTCTCTGTGTAATTCTGACTTTCAAATAAATAAACAAATCGTTTTAAAAAAGAAAGGAAAGATTCGTTTATTTATTTGAAAGGCAGAGTTACAGAGAGAGAGAGAGAGAAAGGTCTTTCATCCACTGGTTCACTCCCCAAATGGCTGCAACGGCCGGAGCTGCGCCAATCCGAAGCTTGGCACTCCTTTCGATCTCCCACACAGGTACAGGGGCCCAAACACTTGGGTCATCTTCTGCTGCTTTCTCAGGCCATAGCAGAGAACTGGATTGGAAGTGGAGCAGCCAGGACTCGAACCGGCATCCATATGAGATTCTGGCGCTGCAGGCAGTGACTTTACCTGCTACAACACAGCACGGCCCATCCACCGCTTCATTCTTCCATGAACCCAGCCAACCACTGCAGTGGCCTTGAAAGCCAAGATCGCACACCCCTAGGGACCACCAAGGTGACCCCGGGGATCAGCTAGTTTGGTTTCATAACAAGCAGGGCAGACGGAGCACAGACCCGGGGTGGGACCCACAAGTGGCAACCCTCTTCTAACTGGGTTCACCGCTGCTTGCCCTCCAGAATGGGCCGGCCAACCCACAGCGAGAAGGGTTCTCAGCCTGCCTGCCTCTCCCAGAAATCTAGTGTCGTGGTTTCCCAAAAAAGCTTCTCCCAAGAAAGCGTCTCAGAGGGGCTGAGACTGGAGAGTTTCCGTGTCGCAAACACAGATTTTTCTAATATGCTCCTTTTCAGAATTAACCACAAATCCTGAACCCCCGTAGTTCAATGGGCCAGAGATATAAATAGTCTTGTCTCTAGCCTGCCGGTATACCCATGGAAAAATGGGCACTCCTCCACAGAGAGCCCAGAAATACAAATCAAAATGAGACACCCTTCCTTGCGTGGAACATTTGCGAAGATTGCCATGGAGGGGATGATACTCAGAGCCAGCCAAGGGCAGAGCAAGACAGGCACTCTCAGCTGTGGCCGTGGGAGTATAAATTGCTTTCAGCAGACAATTTAGCAAATTGTATCAGCCTGAAAAACCTCTCCAGAAAATCATCAGAAATGCCAAAAAAGCTTTATGCACAAAACTGTTCATCTCAGAATTATTGTAATGGTTTTTTTTTTTTTTTTTTGAAAAAAGGAAGCAATCTAATTATCCAAAAATAAGGAACTGATTAAATAAACTCTAGGAGTGCCACTCAGGAGCGTAGTCAAGAGATATTTAAAATAATGTTTACAAAAATGTAGAATGCCAACAGGGAGATACTTACACTCTTTAATTATGGAAGATCAGAACACAGATTAGTATTTATACTACAATGTAATAACAATTGCATCTATAACTCATCACGTACAAACCTGACATGAGGAAAAGTGAGCCAAAGTACTAATGATTTCCAAATGTTCCAAGACAAGCATATATTACTTTTGTTATTTTCTGAAATTTAGGCATGCGTGTGTGTGTGTGTGTGTGCGCGTGCGTATTTTAACCTCAGGCATAGAATTGCATTTATCATGATAGGACATGTTTTCTTTAAAATAAAAGGGGACTTTTACATGTCAGCAGCAAATGGAATTGAAAGATACATTTTTTGTTAGTGCAAAAGATTTTCAAATCCATGTATGGCATCTTCAGAATACATACTTTGGCCAGCACCACGGCTCAATAGGTTAATCCTCCTCCTGCGGCGCCGGCACACCAGGTTCTAGTCCTGGTCGGGGCGCCGGATTCTGTCCCGGTTGCCCCTCTTCCAGGCCAGCTCTCTGCTGTGGCCCAGGAGTGCAGTGGAGGATGGCCCAAGTACTTGGGCCCTGCACCCCATGGGAGACCAGGAGAAGCACCTGGCTCCTGGCTTCGGATCAGCGCATGTGCCAGCTGCAGCACACCAGCTGCAGCGGCCATTGAGGGGTGAACCAACAGAAAAGGAAGACCTTTCTCTCTGTCTCTCTCACTGTCCACTCTGTCAAAAAAAAAAATTAAAATTAAAAAAAGAATACATTTTGAAGATTCCTTGAACACATGGATTTCCAATTTTTTGTAGCAAAATAAATGTATATTTGAATTCCATTTTCAGTAAACTTTTTTCCGTCCCTGAATATGGGAAAAGCTGTGGAAACAACGTGAGCCTGGCCCCCCTTCCCCCACCCCACTCCCAGCCCGTCTCCTCTCTGTCCCCAGCCATTGCAGAGCTGCCCCGGGCTCCCCTCTGCCCCCTGTTCTGGATGGAGTTCCAAGGCCACTGCTATCGCTTCTTCCCTCTGAACAAGACCTGGGCGGAGGCCGACCTGCACTGTTCCGAGTTCTCCATCGGCAGGAAGTCTGCCAAACTGGCCTCCATCCACAGGTGAGAGCTCCTCAGCCCGCCACGGTCCAACCAAGCACCTCCTGGAAAAGGGAGTAGAGAACGGCGTTTCCCACCAACGTTTCTCTCTGGTAACTGAAGCTATTGGCTTCTCTTTGTTCACTTTTTAAATTTTATTTATTTGTTTTTATTTGAAAGGCAGAGAGACACACAGAGAGAGAGAGAACCTTCTACCCACTGATTCTCTCTCTCTCTCCAAATGCTCACAACAGCCAAGCCTGGGCTGGGCTGAAGCCAGGATCCAGGAACTTAATCCAAGTCTCCTATGGGGGTGGCAGGGACCCCAAGCGCTTAAGCCACATTAGCTGCCTCCCACGATGTGAATAGCAGAAATTTGGATTGGAAGCAGAGGATCTGGGACTCAAACCAGGGACTCCGATATGGGATCTGCAGGTCCCAAGCAATGTCTTAACTGCTTTACCAAATGCCTTCCATTGAAGCTACTTTTTAACCAGCCCAATTTCTCACTTAAATTATCTTTGACAGTAGTTAGCAAAGTGTTTAGCAGCAGTAGCAAAGAACATGCAGAAAGATGCATCCTGCTAAGAGCCAATTTTTTCTCCATATCACAGGGAGCTTGACCCTGTGATACAACTGGGCATGCTTATGTAGAATATAGTGTAAGGGAAAATGACTGGCATTTATTTGCTAAGCGTGTCACATACATCACCGCATCTCAAACCTTCAAACCATAGCAGGTGGATAGCCTTATTTTACAGTTCAAGAACCTTTGGCTCTGAAAACGTGAGTAGTTTGTTCAAAATGACACAGCTATTACATGGGAGAAATGGGTTTTGAACCTGAGTGATCAGATAGCACAGTTCCCCTGCCAAGTCCTGCTCCCATAGTGCTGTGTGTCTCTCGAGCTGCAGCCACAATGGCCGCCTCAAAGTTGAAACCCAGCCCAGCCCTTTCACACTCGTCTGCACCATGGGGTGTCCTTTCTCCTCTGCTGGGAATGCCCACCCCTCTCTTCTCATCCAGGTAAATGCCTCCTCAGTCACCAAGGATCTCTTTACTGAAGCAGCCTGTGGCCCCGGCACCTCGAAGTGCTCACGCCCTCTTTCTCCTGGAGATCTTCCTTCATCCCCATGTACTACTGCATGTTTTTTGTTTTTGTTTTGACAGGCAGAGTGGATAGTGAGAGAGAGAGACAGAGAGAAAGGTCTTCCTTTTGCCGTTGGTTCACCCTCCAATGGCCGCCACGGCTGGCGCGCTGCGGCCGCCGGTGCACCGCACTGATCCAAAGGGAGGAGCCAGGTGCTTCTCCTGGTCTCCCATGGGGTGCAGGGCCCAAGGACCTGGGCCATCCTCCACTGCCTTCCCGGGCCACAGCAGAGAGCTGGCCTGGAAGAGGGGCAACCGGGACAGAATCCGGCGCCCCAACCGGGACTAGAACCCGGCGTGCCAGCGCCGCTAGGCGGAGGATTAACCTATTGAGCCGCGGCACTGGCCTGCATGTTTTTCCATCTGACTTCCCTGTGGGCTTCTTGTGTGTTCTTCAAGATTCTCAGAGATAGAGAGTGAGCAAGAGGGGGTTTCCTTTATGTTTTAGAGCCACTGATTTTGTTGAGAATAGAGAAGTTGTGCTGGGTCTTAGCTCCTAGATGAGTCTTGAATTCACACCCATCTATTATCCAACAGAGAGATCAGACACCCACTGTTTTCTCCATGGAGTTGAAGAATATGCCGAGACAAGGTCTGACCAGGAAAATAGCCATGATGGGTATTTAAGGCAGAAGATTTATACACACACACACATGACAGAAGCTCAGAACTTAAAGAGGAGGCAGTGAGGTAGAGACACACAGAAACACAAAGCCAGTTCCAGCCCTAAGCTGGAAGCCAGGCCATTCCGTCTGGGAGCTGGAGCCACAAAGAAGAGGCAGCCCCTGCCAGAGACCTCCAAGCTTCTCCCTCCTTCCCCCCCCGCCCCAGGAGGCTCACCAGTGCCTCCCATTAGTTGGCAGCAAGCTGACATGGTGTCTGAGTGTGGTGCCGCTGGGGCCCAGCAACTGAGGCCTCCAACCTGAGTGGATATCCTGAGATTCCACCCCCCCACAAAAAAAAACTGAAGAAGGGAGCACCATATTAGAATAAAAGAGCTTAAGGGGGCCACTTCCCTAGGGGATTCCAGACCCGGGAATCTGTAGCCTTCTGCAAACGGATGGAGAGCTGGAGGTTGGACCCTGGGTTAGAGCTCCCTCTACTGCTCACCAGGAAGTGGTCCCTCAGACCTCCCCCTCACACAGGCGTGGGACTAGCCTTGACTGTGTGTCTCAGTAGGGGTTCGCTGTGATTTGACGTCCTACACGTGGAAACCCAGGAAAGGCATTCCTTAGGGGCCAAATCCCCTGTGACAAAGGAACACAGTCCAGGACCAGCACTTACAGAGATGGACCAATCAGCGTATAGAGGAAAATGAAACATAAGAAGGTGAGGTGGGATTGAACGTTAAGTTTATTTTGGTGCAAAAAAAGTTTTGAAATCCATACATAGTTTTTCCATAATATACATTTTCTGCAAACAGTTTTGGAGGGCTCCCATATAAAAGAGCAAATATATAAAAATGATTCCAAATCAAGATTTCACTTCAGCCGGCCCCCAGGGAGGTCAGCCCAACCTGCCTCCTTGTACTTTGCATCAGAAAGGATTCCTGGCAAATTCAGGGGTTTTCCAGAAATTCCTGTTCTTTCAGACACAACTTGACTTTTTTTCAGTCTTCTCCTCTCCTGCCATCCCTCTTTCCCTGACACCAACATTATCCCCCCCCCTCTCTTTTCTTTACATTTATTTATTTGAGAGAGGAAGAAAGAGAGAGAGAGAGAGAGAGAGAGAGAGAGAGAGCGAGCTCCCATATACTGGTTCACTGCCCAAATGCCCACAACAGTGGAGGGAGAGGAGCTGCTGGGCCAGGGCTAAACCTCAGGGCTTGGAACTCAATCTGGGTCTCCCATGTGGTGGCAGGGACCCAAGTATTTGAGTCACTACCATGGCTTCCCAGGGTCTGCATCAGCCGGAAGCCAGAATCGGGAGCAGAGCTGGGAGTCAAAGCCAGGCAATCCAATACGGGATGCAGACAATTCAACACGTATGGGATGCAGGCATCTTAAGCACGTAGACCAACTTTTCTCTCTTATACAGGCTGTTCCCCATTTGCTTTCCTGAGAGCACGTAGAAGAGTTGAATTGGAACGCATTTGGCTGGTGTGTGTGGCGCTCAGGTCTCACAAAGCTAAGCAGTACACCTGCCTTCATCCTGGCTCTGAGACGCATCCAGTTCAACAGAGCACGTCTCCATGCGTTTGCACTTTGCTCTTTCCACTAAGAACTAAACGCAGTTAGCTTATGTGCCTGCAACATCTGATTGGGATTTAGGATTCTCCTACTTCCAGCTTCCCTGCTATTTTCCATCTTTCTCTCAAGTGACTGCCGAACTGAATTAAGTTCATTTGATCTTTGCTTGGGCCTTTCTATTTCTCAGTTATTTTGATCAGACATGGGGGAAAGGCAATAAAATATTCAGAGTTGTCCAAACAGGTGCCATTGAACAAAGAGGATGATAAAATGACGAGGCTGCTGGTCTACCAGATGACTGTTGAAAATGCATGAGCAGTTGAGAGAGGAGTAGCAAAACTGTGTATGAGAGAGGCATTTGGGGACATCACTACTTACCCAGCTGGATAGGACCAAGGTCAAAAACCCATTGGACTGAAGAATGCCTTGTCCCCAGAAATCTCATCGCCTTCATTTCAGGCAGAACACACGCTCCCAAAGCACCAGCATTGATTAGCGCCTGGTGACAGCCTGGGAGAAGATGTCCAATAGAAATGAGACATGACATCAGCCTGTGGGGTCTCTGCAGGACTGGACCCGGAGAAATGGAGAATTAAACCAGCCAGCTAGCTGCAGAGGGGACGGGGGCTTTGGGCTGCAGATAAGCAAGGATTGATTCGAGGACATTGGTGAGAGGTTTCCTGGGAAAATCAGCCCTGGACCAGGATCTGAAAGGACTAGAGGATGAGGACAAGTCAGTGTTGCAAATGAAGACACCAGTGGGGGCATTGCGGGCACTGGTCAGGAGCAGGAGAGGCAGGCAGTCTGAGACTCGAGCCCCAGCTACACTGCTTCACGGATGCACGATCTTGACCAAGTGACGAATCATCCTCACTGTAGCAGTAATCACACGGACCTCTAGAAAGCTGTGGGTGTCAGTGTATCCAAAGTTCTTAGTGCTCACCTAACTTGAGCTTCAGGAATGTCAGCCGTTATTTTTCGTTCACTGTCATTCTCAGTCTCTCAAAGAGGCCCGGTTTTTCTTAGCGTTCCAGAGGGCGTGCAAGCTTGCTTCAACCCCCACTCCCGCCCCTTTCCTCCTCAGCCTCAGTAGTATCTGATAAGCAGCTCTGCATTCGACTTCCTGGAGCGCTGTGTTGGGAAGGCTTCTAAGTGCTGTGAACATGGACTAGATCAGCCGTGTCATCTGCAAACACACAAATAAGGAGAGGAAATGTATGTGCTTTGGTTTGCTACCAAAGCCTCAAGCAAAAGGAAATCTAAGGAGAGGATTTTAGACAAGGTGGCATCTTCTGGAAAGCAGTCATTTGGAAGAAACTGATGGGAGCACATAGACCTTTTTGCACCATAAAGGGAACCTCAGCATAGCTCTGCCTTGAAATGAGTTATTGGTTAGGTGCTAAGTCTAGGGCTTATCACTTTTATTTTATAATAGCTTCTTTGCACAAACTGAAGTCCACCTGTTAGTGGTAGGTAGAAGCCAATAACGGGAATCACTTGTGCAGTTGGATCTGTCCATCTATGATTGAAGGATTTGATGGAGTGTGCCTACCCCTGTCCATTTGTTTTCATAACCCTCCCTTGCTCTTCCAACTTCTGCAAATGACCTTTCCAGGGTTACTGAAATCAGGGCACTGGGTGAGGAGTTAGCTCATCACTCCTCCAAGGTTTCCAACATGGCAGCTCCAAATGTGGTGTCCACACGCAGCTGCGACCCAGAGGAAGGACAGTGGTGGAAACTAGGGCTGTCTCCCTTCACCACAGAGGAAAGCATTTCAAAGATGCCCCTATATCTACTTAACCGAAGTGTTCTCTTATAGCAAATTCATCAAACTTGAGCACATGGCCAATGTTAGCTGCAAAGGGAACTGGGAAAATAAAATCTGGCTTCCCTAGGTTATGTGTAGACAATGGGTAAACAGATTAGGAATGGCTGTAGAATAAACAAGTCTGCCCCAGTGCCTGTCTGGTGTGAAGATGAAATGAATTCATGCATATAAAGTATTAAGCATAGTATCTGGCATGAAATAAGGGCTCGGGAAAGATTTCAATGGTGAAAGCCTGTATGTGTCTGTTTAACTGTCCATCCATCCCTCCCTCCATTTCTCCCTCCCTCCACCTCTATTTCTTTGGTGTTTTAGCTGTGGACTGTCCTCAGCATCCTCTAATGAGTCTTTTGTTGAGTGAATCATTTGATAAGCTCTTTGAAATAGAGAAAGAGAATCCCCCAAGAAGACACTATGGGAAGGGGGGCTCTAAGGAAGGTGGGCTGTTGACCACAAGGTCAAGTGGGCACTGGGAGTTCAAGCCTGCAGCTGAGTTTCCCAGGGAAACAGAAAATATGTTAGAGGCAGAGTGTGAATAAAGGCTAGATGAGATGGGTGTGTAAGGACGGGTAGTGTGGAAAGGGCCTTTGAGAGAGAGCAAGCATGTTTAGTGGAGATGTTCGTTAAGTGTTTGGTGTGTGCAAGGCAATGGAAACCCCTTTCATTGTGTCTTCATCTTCAATATAATCAATCCACCTGCTTTACCAGTGTTTTTGAGATGCATTTAAATGTTTAGGGATGAATAGCAATGCCGAGTCCATCTTTGAGCTGGTTTGGTTTAAACCCGGAGATGACCAGGTGCAGACAGCTACATACAGGTAACCTCATTAAAAAATAAAAGCACATGGAGCCCGCATTGTGGTGCAGAGGGTTAAGCCACTGCTTGCCACTCCGACATCCCATACTGGAGCGCCGATTTGTGTCCCAGCTGCTCTGCTTCCAATCCAGCTCCCTGCTAATGCACCTGGGAAATCAGCAGAACATGGTCACGTGGGTGACTCAGATGGAGTTCCTGGCTCCTGGCTTCAGTCTGGTTCAGCCCCAGCTGTGGCTATTTGGGAGATGACCCAGCAGATGGAAGATCTCTCTCGATCCCTCTCTGTCACTCCACTTTTTAAATAAATAAAATAAATCTTTTTTTTTTTTTTTTGACAGGCAGAGTGGACAGTGAGAGAGAGACAGAGAGAAAGGTCTTCCTTTGCCGTTGGTTCACCCTCCAATGGCCACCGCGGTCGGCGCGCTGCGGCCGGCGCACCGCGCTGATCCGATGGCAGGAGCCAGGAGCCAGGTGCTTTTCCTGGTCTCCCATGGGGTGCAGGGCCCAAGCACCTGGGCCATCCTTCACTGCACTCCCTGGCCACAGCAGAGGGCTGGCCTGGAAGAGGGGCAACCGGGACAGAATCCGGCGCCCCGACCGGGACTAGAACCCGGTGTGCCGGCGCCGCTAGGCGGAAGATTAGCCTAGTGAGCCGCGGCGCCGGCCTAATAAAATAAATCTTTAAAAATAAAGGTAAAAGGGGCCAGCACTGTGGAACAGCAGGTTAATGCCCTGGACAGAAGTGCCGGCATCCCATAAAGGTGCCAGTTTTAGTCCCGGCTGCTCCTCTTCCAATCCAGCTCTCTGCTATAGCCTGGGAAAGCAGTACAAGATGGCCCAAGTCCTTGGATCCCTGCACCCATGTGGGAGACCCGGAAGAAGCTCCTGGCTTCTGGTTTCAGACTGGCGCAGCTCCGTTCGTTGAGGCCATCTGGGGAGTGAACCAGCGGATGGAGGACCTCTCTCTCTACCTCTCTCTGTAACTCTGTCTTTCAAATAAATAAAATAAATCTTCAAAACAAAAAGTAAAAGTAAAAAATAAAGCAGATGGAGTGGACATTTAACCCAGCTGCTGCACGCATTGAGGGGAATGAACCAGTAGATTGGAACTCTCCCCTCTCTCTCTCTCTCTCTCTCTCTGTATGTTTGTCTGCTTCTCATATAAGAAAAGAAAACACATGAAGGATTTAACCCAGAGCCTAGAACCAAGTCGTTTTCCTGTATTGTTTGCTATTGCTATTATTAGTTCTTTGAACTCTGAGTTGATGCAATTATAATCCAACTTTAAAGTTGCTGTTATAGGCCGGCACCGTGGCTCAATAGGCTAATCCTCTGCCTGCGGCGCCGGCACACCAGGTTCTAGTCCCGGTCGAGGCACTGGATTCTGTCCTGGTTGCTCCTCTTCCAGGCCAGCTCTCTGCTGTGGCCCGGGAGTGCAGTGGAGGATGGCCCAGGTGCTTGGGCCCTGCACCCGCATGGGAGACAAGGAGGAAGCACCTGGCTCCTGACTTCGGATCGGCACCGTGCACTGGCCATAGCAGCCACTTGGAGGGTGAACCAACAGAAAAGGAAGACCTTTCTCTCTGTCTCTCTCTCTCACTGTCTAACTCTGCCTGGCAAAATAAATAAATAAATAAATAAAACATAAAAAATAATTTTAAAAAATTACTGTTATAATGGAGATTCATAGTCTTATAGATATTCCCAGAAGTTTAACAAGGATTGCTTTCAGTTTTCCACGCCATCCTCAAACCTGCTGCTCCGTGTCTTACAGCTGGGAGGAGAACGTCTTTGTGTATGACCTTGTCAACAGCTGTGTTCCTGGCATCCCAGCCGACATCTGGACAGGCCTTCATGATCACAGACAGGTGAGGAAGCAGGGACCTAAGCACAAGTCAAGAGTCCACGTTGATGTGCTGAACTTTCCCACAGGCACCAGGTCACTGCTCTGCACTGAGCCCGGGGAGAGAAACGAGACGCTGCAGGAGTGGCTAGAGCTCAGGGATGTGATGGAAACGCATTTCATGGTCAGAGAAGGCAACTGCTTTGCCGTGGTTTCTCCAAAACGCCAACAACAAAGTGCGATTGGGGATGCAAGAGGCGTTCAAGGGGAAACGCTGTGTGTCTGAGACGTGTGCACGGGGAGGGCCGGTAGGACTGGGCCTGAAGAGTCTCGGGTCACTGCTTGGTGAGGCCCCTGGGGAGCCCCAAAGCGAGGGATGCACATTCAAAGGCTCCTGCGTTGGCAGGGAATGGGCCAGCACGGGTACCCCTGAGTCATGCTGAGTCATGCTGAGTCACGCTGAGTCACGCTGAGTCACGCTGGGAGCAACCTGCAGGAAGCTCCGTCTCACCGTGAATGTAATGGCAGTTCCAACACCAGGTGTGACGCCAAGGAGGCAGGAAAGCCGAGCTGTCAATCACGTGGGTTTTCTGGAAGGTGATTGGAGCCACAAGCACTTCCGTGGAAGCCACAGCGTCGCTGGGTGAAATAAACATTTTAAGCCAGTGTTTAATGGGTAGATGGACGTCAAGGCGAAGTAGAACATCCCGGGTGCAGGGAACAGCATGGGTCAAAGCTCTAGGGCAGGGGAGACCTTGGCACATTCTAGGAAGCTGACGAGCAGGTGGGCGGAGTTACGGTGGAGAATAAGGCTGAAGAGAGTGACTTGGGTCATATCTCCTACTGGGCAGCATCCCAGCAAATTCCATCTGGAGCTTTTGTCCACAGACTTTTCCTGGGCAGACTGTGTGCTGAGTCTGCATTTCGCATAAATGCCCCTTGCCACTTAATGGCTGGTAGGGGACTTTAGGCAGCTTTACATCTCTCTAGGTCTCAGTTTCTCTGTCTGTCAAAGGGGATAATAATGGCAAGAGTGCCTGTTGTGAAAAATAGGTGCAGTAACATATGTAAAGAGCTGGCGTGCTGCTTGGCACACTGTAAGAATTCAGGGATGGTGGGCATTGCTGTTAAAGCAGCAAAGGTAACAGCAGACAGTTTTCTAATCAATAGATTTGGCAAGGATCCGTATGAAGTTGTACCTCTTTAAAACCCCACAAATTCTATTAACAATAGCAACTTTTTTTTGACAGGCAGAGTTAGACAGTGAGAAAGAGACAGAGAGAAAGGTCTTCCTTCCGTTGGTTCACCCCCCAAATGACTGCTATGGCCCGTGCACTGCGCCAATCTGAAGCCAGGAGCCAGGTGTCTCCTCCTGGTCTCCCATGCAGGTGTAGCGCCGTGGCTCACTAGCCTAATCCTCTGCTTGTGGCGCTGGTACTCCGGGTTCTAGTCCCGGCTGGGGTCCCAGTTCTGTCCTGGTTGCTCCTCTTCCAGTCCAGCTCTCTGCTGTGGCCCGGGAAGGCAGTGGAGGATGGCAATAGCAACTTTATAACTGGGTTGTAACTACATGAAATCAGAGTTTAAGGAACTTGTACTCTAAGATCTAAAAAGAATAATGATAACCTGTAATAAAGAAAAGGAGCTTTTTTATTTTTTTCAGGGCTGGGCACCCTGTGGCGGGCACTGTGGCAAGTCCGTCACGAGATTTAATCCATCCGACCCTCACATCAGCTCTCTGAAGTAGATACACACTCCTTGTACAGGCATGGAAACTGAGGCTCAGAGAGGTTAAACAACTGGTCCAGGTCTCAGGAAGTGATTGGAGACGGGATCTCAAGCTCTGATCTCTCCCCTCCTCCCTCTCCCCACCCTCCCCCTCCCCCACTCTCTCCTTCCCCAACCCCCACCTGTGTGTCTCAGAAATATACACTATTCTCATTATACAAGAGGAGCTCCATAATCATCAGTGTTTACAAGGCTGCTTTTCTAAGACCTTGAATTCAGAGAGAAATGGCTCTTTATTCTGGGTATTACAAAGATACAGTGCTTCCCACAGTTAATTTGCACATTTATTGCAACACTAATCAAATTGCCAACAGGACTTTTCTTGCAATTCAACAGTAGTTCTACATCAGGCAAGAAAAACACAGACTATTTGGACAAAAATAAAAGAGATGAAGAATGACCCATCCACTGGTGAGGGGTAGCATTAGTATTTTGGGCAATGGAGTTTGAATCCCAGCATTAATGCTTTATTAGCTGTATGAATTTAGGTAGACCCATCTGAGTGTCAGCTTTCTCCTCTCTAAAATGAGATTGGCAATGCCTGCTCTGTAAGCTGGTGAGAAGAAAATGAGTAATGTGCCCAGCATGGCATTTGATAAGCTCTCAGCAAACGGGAGCTAGTAACAGTGGTAGTGGTGGTAGCAATCAGATCAGATTAAAAGGGAGGACTTTTCTGGCTGAAAAGCCCATGAGAGCATCTCAAGCATGGAAAGCCAAGACACTGGGGCAAAAAATATGTCCTACATGAAGGATCTCTGCGAGAGAGACCCCAGTGGAAAGAGGGGCCATCAAAGAAGGAGGTATCTTTCTCTGAAGGAAGGAGAGAACTTCCACTTTGATTATGGCCTTGTCTAAATACAGAGATTGTGGCTTCCGTAGCCTTGACAGCTCGTGTCAAGAGCCTCGGGTGATCACTGACTTCATACATAAGGTTGTTAATTGTTAACAACAGGAGTCACTGTGCACTTACTCCTCATGCAGGACCTCTGACCTCAATGAGTTGTACTATGAGAATTAGCTGTAAAACTTGTTCTCAAATTTTTTTTAAATATTGTGTGTGTGTGTGTGTGTGCAAATTGTAGAAATCTTTACTTAGTATAGAGTGGGGCTTCTGTGTATAAAGTTAATTGAAAAGGGCCGGCACCGTGGCTCAATAGGCTAATCCTCTGCCTGCAGCGCCGGCACACTGGGTTCTAGTCCCAGTCAGGGTGCTGGATTCTGTCCTGGTTGCCCCTCTTCCAGGCTAGCTCTCTGCTGTGGCCCGGGAGGGCAGTGGAGGATGGCTCAAGTGCTTGGGCCCTGCACCCCATGGGAGACCAGGATAAGCACCTGGCTCCTGCCTTCGGATCAGTGCAGTGCACTGGCCGCAGCGGCCATTGGAGGGTGAACCAATGGCAAAGGAAGACCTTTCTCTCTGTCTCTCTCTCACTGTCCACTCTGCCTGCCTGTCAAAAAAAAAAAAAAAGTTAATTGAAAAGGAATCTAAATGGAGAATGGGACTGGGAAGAGGAGAGGGAGGAGGAGGTGGAGTGGGAGGGTGGGTATGGTGGGAAGAATCACTATATTCCTAAAGTTGTACTTATGAAATTTGTACTCATTAAATAAAAGGTTTCTTTAAAAAAAAGTGAGGGCTTTTGCAAGCAGGTGCCACCTATGGAGGCACAAGAATTCCATCCCCGGGACAGTGCCTGATCATCCTCTCCTTGGCTTGCTTCTTTGCCTCTGGGCGGAACCCCCCAGGAAGGGCAGTTTGAATGGACCGACGGCTCAGCCTATGACTACAGCTACTGGGATGGGAGCCAGCCGGATGATGGCATCCATGCCAACCCAGAAGAGGAGGACTGTGTGCAGATGTGGTACCGGCCCACCAGCGGTGGGTACCCCAAGACCAGGGCTCTCACGGGGGTACTGGGGAGGCATCACGAATGGTTGGGAGTCAGACAATGTTTTCATCAGCTTAGAGAGCAATCGGGGGTGCCTGGGGAGTGGCCATCCTCAGAGAATACATTTTTAACAACAGTTAGTGGGTGTTGTTGGCAGGCAGACTCTCACTTGGATAAAAAGACATTAGAAGTAGAAACATAAGGAAAAGACTAGAACAGCAAGTGGTCAAAGGGTGGTGCTTCTGGGTCTTCTCACCAACACAGCCAAGAGCAATGTCTCATTGTTCACCTTCAAAATGGGGCTAATATTTATCTCACAGAGTTGACATAAAGAAAAGAGAAAATGTGCACAAAGTGTACATGGCACGGTTATCACGCGCTATCCGTCATCATCACCCCTTCCACCTATGTTAGAAATAAAACTACTTACATGCCCATTTTGCAAATGAGGAAACTGGGTTTCGCAGAAGTTGAGCAACTTGTTCAAGGTCACACGTCAAGCAAACCTGGTAGTTAGGTTTCAAATCTACATCTACAAAACTCCAGTCCAAGCATTTTACTGTTATGCCCTCTTTGCTTCTTTTTCTTTTCCAGGTTAGGGGAGGGGATATGGGTGTGGAATAATGACTTTTTTGTTTTACCTTGGTAGCCATCCTATAGCCTGGTACTCAGGGTTAGGTGAGGTTTTCCCGCCCAGCCATGGTGGCAAGTCAAGATAGCTCTATAGGGGCGAGAATTGTTGCACAGTAAAGGTGGTAAGTGCCCCTCCCCCTGCAACACCAGCATCCCACATGAGCACTGGTTCAAGTCCCAGCTGCTCCACTTCCAATCCAGCTCCCTGCTAATGTATCCGGGAAAGCAGCAGGAGATGGCCCAAGCACTTGGGCCACTGCCATCCATGTGGGAGACCAGATGGGGCTCCAGGTTCCTGGCTTCAGCCTGACTCAGCCCTTGGGGAGAGAACCAGCAGATGGATGATCTCTCTTTCTCTCTCCCTCTTTCTCTCTCTCCCTGTAACTCTGCTTTTCAAATAAAAAATAAATCTTTAATAAGATCAACCTTAGGAGAGAGGAAGGCTGGACAGCCACCTTGTCAAGTATCATCAAGAAAGGGCTACCAGTGCAGATGTGAGACCTACTGGGAAAACTCTTCCTCCAGAGAGTGGTGGGGGTCACTCTCACTGTGGTTCTCTGCTTCTTCCCACACAGCACTGAGGTCCTGGAATGACAACGCCTGCGGCCAGAAGTTCCCCTTTGTCTGCAAGATCCCTTCTCTGAGTATTCATTGATCCAGTCTTGCCCGCTTGAGCTCGGCTTCAGCATCAGCTCGTAGCTGTACCTAGTGGAGAGTTGACCCCACACAAATGTAAAACACACAGAGGAGGCCAATATCCCAAACAGAGATTTGGAGCAAGTAAATCTTAATTCTACAGGGCTGTCTCTTGGCCACATAACAGGAAGCCCAAATCAAAATGACCCAAGAATCAGGAGTCCAAGGGTTGATATAGATTCAGGGTTGAACCCCACTGGCCTGGTTTGGGTCAGATGCCCAACCCTAATGCAATTTTGGCACATGCTCAGAGGCTAGGACCGGTGTAGACATCGCAGGGGTAGAAAGGAATGGGAATCAATACCCCTGGGAAGATGTTGGCCAAAGGGTGAAAACTTTCTGGAATAAGATAATCTGGAGTTACAATGCACACCAGTGACCTAGTTCAGGGTGATATATAGTAGACTTGAAATTTGCCCAGAGTGGATCTTCAGTGCCCTCACCAGGATCAGAGGTAAATATGTAGTTCGTTAATGAACTTGATGGTGGCCATCACTTCACAGTGTATATCAGGTTCTACATCCTCCATGGATGCTGTATTAGTCTCTCTTACCTTAATAAAATATGTCAATCAATAAATAAAGTTACTCTGCGTGTGTATGTGTGTGTGTGTGTGTTCTGAACCACTCAGCCCCACAGAGGACGTTGGTTCTCCAAAGGAAAATGAAAATATCGCTGTGTTAGCCTTTCATTACCACAGCAAAATGCTCAAGGAAACTAACTCTATAAAGAGAAAAGATTGATTTACCTCACTGTGTGGAGGTTCAAGTCCAAGTTCAGACAGTCCCATTGGTGTGGCCTCTGTGAGGGTGGTGGATGGCAGTGGAGGAGTGTATGGGAGGGAGGATCAAGTGGTGAGTCAGGACACAGAGAGGGAGCTGGGCCATTAGTTGGGCTTTCATAACAACCTTCTTCTGAAAATTAGCTTCTGAGGACCCGCCCCCCAGGACTTAAGGACCTCCCACCAGGCCCCACCTCTGAACTTTCATTGGATTAAGATCCCACACTGTTAGCACCGTTACCCTTTGACTGAGGTTGAAAGTCCTCATGAGCTTGGGAAGCAAGACCAGAGCAATGACCCGAACTTGTTTCTTACTAATGGAGCACAAAATGGTGATGTCACTGTGAAAAACCATCAGGCACTTCCTCAAAAAGTTAGCAGAGTTACCTAGGACACAGCCATTCCACTCCTAGATATACACCCCAGAGAACTGAGAGCAGGTGCCCAACTATGAATGGTAACAGAAGCCTTGTTCAAAATAGCAAAAAAGTGGGAACTACTCAAACGCCCACCAACAAGTGGATGGATCCACACAATGAGGTGTATCCGTACAACGGATGGTTACTCAGGCATAGTAACAAGTAACTAGGAACATAGTAACATAACAAGTAACATAACAACCAGGAGTGAAGTACTGATACCTACTACAGTCTGAATGGACACACTGTACTGCCAGTCATACAGACCACACCTGATAGGATTCCATGCATGTCCAGAAAAGGCCACTCTATGGGGAGAGAGCGTGGACAGGGGCTGGGTGGAGGGGGAGGAGGGGAGCACTAACAGCCATGGAGCTCCTTTCCGTGTGGTGAAAAATGCTTTGCAGCAGCCAGTGTGGTGGCACGGCAGGTGAGCTGGCATCTCGTATCAGAGGGCTGGTTCCAGTCCCGGCTGCTCTGCTTCTCATCCGTCTTCCTGCTAATGCACCTGGGAAGGCAGCAGAGGATGGCTCAAGTACTGGGGCCCCTGCCACCCAACATGGGAGACCAGGATGGAGTTCCAGGCGCTTGCTTTGGCCTGGCCCAGCCCCAGCTGTTCTGGCCATCTGGGAAGTGAGCCAGTGGCTGCACTCCCTCCCTCCTTCCCTTTCCCTCCCTCTCTCCCTCCCTCCCAAAAATAAATAAATAATTTTTAATGTTCTACAGCTAGTGACCATGGCTGCACAACATTATGAATGTAACAGAAGTCACTGAATTTTACATTTTTAAGGATTAAAATGGTGAATTTTATATTATATGAATTTTATTTCAATTTTTAAGAATGATACCAGAAGAAAGTGTTATAGGTCCCCTGGTCACTGCACAGCCACATTCTGGGAAGACAGTCTTTTCACTGCACAGCCACATTCTGGGAAGACAGTCTTTAGAGAACAGAAGGTATTATTATTATTATTCATGAATAAGGAAGCAGGAAAACATCTCCAATTTGCTGTCCTGATTGTAGGGCAGGTGAAAGCGTTTACAGCTCATGAAGGAGACAGCTGGCGAGCGGAAATAACCTACAAGGCAAGTTTGATGGGCAGACCCTGCTCTGCATGTGCCCAGGACCAACACCAGGTGGCGCCCTATGCTGGGTTCTTTCCTAGCATGCATTTAAAAAAAAAAAAAAAAAGCAGAAACCTAAAAAATAGGATCTGATCCACTGTTAAAGCGTAAAATGGGGACATTTTCAGGGAAAGATGGGGACTCCTAAGACATTTTTATGTATGGAGCATCAGTGAGGAGCCCAGCAAAAGGACACCCACTTTCAAAAGTACACGTGCCAGGCCTGAAAACCGATGGATATTTATTAATAGGGTATTGGACAGTGAGGCAGGCAGCTGAGTTCCGTGCATGATTCTCTGGACCCGTGTGTGCCCTTGGGCACCAGTGAGAAGGCAGAGAGAGAATAAAAACAGTGATTGACGTTTGCCACGTTGTGTTGCTTCTCAGATTTTGCAAGAATACCCTTCTGTGAAGGATGCTAACATGGGGCTTACCTACTGCTTCAGAATTGGGCCTGGGGCCTGCGGTTGAAAACAACAGGTACTAATCACGCCTCATTCGAAAGAGGGCGATGACAGAGAGCGGAGCCCGTCTCCTGCCCTCCGAGCTCGTGTAACAGTTCGCAAGATGGGCCTCATGGGTGGGAGCAGCAAAATCCTGGAGCCCTAGGGCTCAAGGGGGACAGGGCCCACAGTGAGATGCTTCCCGTCCACGTCCGGTGTGAGACGGGACAGACACAGGACCCACTAAGCCAAGCCCTTCCATCTCCAGGTCCAAACCGATCAGGAGCAAGGAGTGTCCAGACCTAACACACACACACACACACAACCCCAATGCCCCGCTAGGGCCTTCCCCAACCTGCACCCATGCCCAGGAGGACTGACAGATGATCTCCCTGGGGAGGTCGTTGTGAGTATCACGACCATTACGTCAGGTGCAGAAACAAGCAACCATGACGGTGCACAGCACCAAGCCAGGCGCAAACCAGCTTGGCAGGTGGCAAGGGCAGAGGGATGAGCCACAAAGAGGGCACCCCACGCCTCCCCAGCCCGGTGAAAACCTGTGTTCCCGTATTCGGCTCCTGTCGGGAGCCAGATGGTAGGAACCCCACTGTACCCCCAGTACACCTTGTCTGGTTGCACGTGGACATCTTGTCAATTTCTATTGCAAGAGACTCAAATAACTTGGACTAGTATTACAATTATTCGTAGAGATTGCAGATACTTCCAGCCGGCGCCGCAGCTCACTAGGCTAATCCTCCGCCTGCAGCACCAGCACCCGGGGTTCTAGTCCCGGTTGCTCCTCTTCCAGTCCAGCTCTCTGCTGTGGCCCGGGAGGGCAGTGGAGGATGGCCCAGGTCCTTGGGCCCTGCACCCACATGGGAGACCAGGAGGAAGCACCTGGCTCCTGGCTTTGGATCCGAGAAGCACACCGGCTGAGGCGGCCGTTTGGGGGGTGAGCCAATGGAAGGAAGACCTTTAAAAAAAATACTTGCAAGAAGAGGCGGTGGCCCCTCACTCCCCAGAAATATGCTGGCCACACTTCTGCACACATACTTCTGCCACACTGTTGCAACTGCAACCCACTCTGGTCCTCCCCTGGAGAGAAACTGGTCAGAGCCCTCTCAAGAACCCTTAGCACACTCATTCCTTGGAGTCTGGGAGTGTATGGGAATGGGATTTTCCCTCTATCCTTTTATGTTGTTTTCAGGAGGCCTGTGGCTTAAGACAGATGGCAGAAGAAAAGGCCTAAGGATTTTACTGATGTTTTTATGTGCACAAGGGCTTCACAGAGAAGAGAAAACTCAGAGGCAGCTAGACTTGGGAGCTCATATACCATTTTAACAAAGAGTGATAGATTGCAGCGAAGTGACTAGATAAAGGTAATGGGGTGGGCTTGGATTTCCAGGGGCTGGAAACTGTATGGCAGATAAGGGTTGTTTAGTGTGGTGTTATGACTTCATCTCCAGATCCTAGTGTAGCAGAGGCAACCATTCACAAAGGGAAACTTATGCTCTGCTTTTAAACAAATGGAGGGAGGAACAAGCACTCTGCCTATGTCTGCTGTTTCCTAACTGCCTCCGATTCCAAACAATCCAAACAATCGATACCATATTCCGATTCACCAGGATCCTGAGCTGGGAAGCTCCCTGTGCATGCCCAAAAAGAGAGAAGGGGGAAAGACCTGGGAAGAAGGACGAGGGCAGGTGGAGGACAAGAGTCAGTAAGGCACTGGGTTGGTTCTTCCAGCTCCCTGGGAAGAAGCACAGAGGTGGGGCCAGCACTGTGGTGTAGTAGGCTAAGCCTCCGCCCTTGGCACCAGCATCCCATATGGGCGCTGGTTCTAGTCCCAGCCGCTCCTCTTCCGATCCAGCTCTTTGCTATGGCCTGGGAAAGCAGTAGAAGATGGACCAAGTCCTTGGGCCCCTGCACCCACGTGGGAGACCTAGAAGAAGCTCCTGGCTCCTGGCTTTGGATCGGCTTGGCTCCAGCCATTGCAGCTATTTGGTGAGTGAACCAGTGGATGGAAGTCCTCTCTCTGTGTCTCTCCCTCTTTCTGTCTGTAACTCTACCTCTCAAACAAATAAATAAAATATTTTTAAAAAAATAAAAAGCACAGAGGTCCGAGTAGCTGATCTGTGCCTCAGTTTCCCCATTTGCAAAATGAAGACAGTAATAGTATGTGTCTCATAGAGGTCAGGATTTGCTATATGAAGTGGCTTTGGGCAGTGCCTGCAGACGGTGCTGTGTCATTTACATACCGTTATTATTGTGTTGGTTGGCTAGTTTCACAAACACACTGAGGAACCAGCCACCCCTGAACTCAATGACTTAAAATAACCATCATTTATCGTAACTCATGCCTCTGCAGCTGAGCTGGGGCTGAGCTGATCTAGGCTTAGCTCCACAGGGCAATGCTCCTTCTCTCTGCAGATGCTGGGGACAGTGCGAGCGACTGCTCCATGTTTCTTAAATGCATGCATTAGCTAGCCTCGTGCTTCTTTTCTTTTTTTTTTTTTTTTTTTTTTTTTGACAGGCAGAGTGGACAGTGAGAGAGAGAGACAGAGAGAAAGGTCTTCCTTTGCCGTTGGTTCACCCTCCAATGGCCGCCACGGCCAGCGCGCTGCGGCCGGCGCACCGCGCTGATCCGATGGCAGGAGCCAGGAGCCAGGTGCTTTTCCTGGTCTCCCATGGGGTGCAGGGCCCAAGCACCTGGGCCATCCTCCACTGCACTCCCTGGCCACAGCAGAGAGCTGGCCTGGAAGAGGGGCAACCGGGACAGAATCCGG